TTATATTCTATTGTATTATATTATATTATATTATATTATATTATATTATATTATATTATATTATATTATATTATATTATACTATATTATATTATATTATATTATATTATACTATATTATATTATATTATAATATATTATATTATATTATAGTATAGTATAGTATAGTATAGTATAGTATAGTATAGCATAGTATAGTATAGTATAGTATAGTATAGTATAGTATAGTATATCATATATTATGTGACAGAGATCCCAAAAAGTGCCATGGGCATTTTCCAGGCAAGCAGCCAGAGAGCGGATCCAGCCGCCCTCGGCGAGATCACAGAGGTGCTGGCACCTACCGGCGAGAGGCTGCGCATGCTACATGGGTAGTTGTCAAAATTATGGTCCCATTTGGGGTACCCTAAATAATAGGTCCCGTATTATAATAAGGACCCAAAAAGGGACCCTAATTTAGAGAACCACCCACATGAAGAGCCGGAAACACAAGAAACCCACACCACGCACGCGGACAAGTGCATTTTTTCTCGTCGATTCCTCATGTCTTTACGACTTTGACACCATGCTTGCGACAGCGATCCAGCGCCATGGCAACCTGAGGGAAGGAAGTTCTGGAAGTCAGGGTTTCGCACGATACAGAAACCGGCCATCTGCAACCAGGCCGCATTGGCCGGCGTAACCTCATTCAACGTGCCGACAAGGCTCTGGGCAAAATCCTGCTCCGTGATCTCCTGCTGACAGTCTGCGATACCCTACTTGGAGGATCATGGGACTTAGTAAGTAAGGTTATAAGTCCCCTAATGGGGTTATAAGTATAGGTACCCTAGTAATAATCCTACTTACTAAGTCCCATGATCCTTTAAGTAGCTCTGCTGCATGGCCCATCGTCTCAGGACCGCACCAAGGGGCCGGTAGTCGGCGCCAACTGGAAGAGCACACAATCCAGTGTCTGCCTCAGCCCTGCGATGCGCCTCGCGTTCAGTGATGCTCTCAATATCTGTGTCTTTTGTGTCTGATGATGCCACTGCACTTCGCATTCGATTTCGGCCGAGATGCTTTGGATCAGGCAACTCCTCGGAAACATACTCCAGGTCCTCCTCGCCGGGCGGCGTGCTGTAAGGCATGGTGGGTCTGTCCTCAGGCAGGGCTCACGGCAAACTCGCCACATGCGTCGCCGCCATGTCCCAGCCAAGCATCGTAAAAGTACATCCAGGGCAAGTGATCCTGCCCACTTTGAGCAGAGCCGGAGCCAGCGCTGGGCAAGAAGCCTGCGTGATGGCCGGCTGCGCTGCACGTTTACCACGGCGTTTCTGGGCTCTAGAGTCGGAACAGGAAGCAAACCGTTGGTGCAGCGAAGCTTCGATAGACACGAGCAGCACCTCCCCGCAAGAGGTGTGTTCTGAAGCGGATATCCTCGGACCGACCCTCTCTCTTTCTCCACCTCTAAGCGCAGAGGTGCGTGAAGACATGCCGAGCGGCAGCGAACTGGTTCGCAATAACCCGATTGTTGTGCCGGTCGAAGAAGTCCTAAGCTCGAGCATCTCAGTTGCGTAGGATTGCGCAGGCTTTAAATGGCTCGGCGTCGGCGGTTTCGATCAGACAGCAAGTTGCAAAAGCCGGTCAACCATCGGATTTTTCTACACGAAACTTCTTTGGGGTTATTGTTCATACAAACCTTTTGAAAGATACGGAGCCCAGCGACATCGAAGACTTCGAACTTCGCCGCTGCGTCGAAGTACTCCCCCGTTGCTGTACCGAAGAGACCCGGCTTCTCCTTAGGGTTTACACTCTCGCGACTCGGACTCTGCCAGACGAGGTCTCTGTGTGCAACTATGCCTAACGACTACATACACTGGGAGCAGGCAACTCCTTTCCCACCCAGAAGCGTACCAAGCGGGCAACTCCTTAGGGTTTAGGGTTTAGGACTCAACACGACTTTTTCTTCAGAACGTTCCCATCACAGTAGAATCGAACAGTAAAGCATAGACTGGACTAAACCATACTGTACTGAACTGTTCTGCACTGCACTGTACCACACTGTGCTCCTATACTGGTGTTTGGTCTATCCTATACTCTACTTTACTAGACTAGACTGTTGTGATACAGTATAATATGAATATGAATATTAATACATACAGACACAGGATTAACTGCCCTGACTGCAATGACTTCCCGCCTCCTCTGCGCTGATGGCCAGGCGAAGAAGTCCATCCGCCTCCGTCTGCTGCTTGCAGTCACCCCTCAGCCCTCAACGCTTTTAGAGCCTCTCATTACACTCCTCGTCCTCGGGTTCTCATGTGGCCTCCATCCGCGTCACCTCCGCAGATGTGGCTTCCAGCGGCAGGCGCGGCCCAAGGCCAGGTGACAGGTGGATCCTCCAGAGTCTCACCATATGGGAGTTTCCGAAAATAAGGGGTACCTTTCTTAGGGGTCCTTACAATAAGGATCCTACTATTTTAGGGTACTGTTTTAGGGTCCCCTATTCTCGGAAACCCCCATATCTCATCTCGGCAAGCTGAAGGGAAGCCAAGCCTTGAGTGCACTACGGGCACGTCGTCGGGTCTGTCCTCCCGGTTTAGGGTTTAGGGTTTAGGGTTTAGGGTTTAGGGCGGTCGCAGTGACAAGTAGAACTGGACTCAAGACAAGCAAAGCCTCACAAATCGGACGTCGCTGCATCCTGAATCGCCGATACATACTCCTCAGCCCTGCGCGGATGCCACAGATCCTGGGGTTGCGTTCCGCAGGAAACCAAAACTGAAAGAAGCCAACCCCAGCCAGTCACTTCAGCTGACGTGAAAGTCAACGTCAAGTGTCATCATCGTCCGAGAAGAATACCCATGGCTGATCCGATGGTTGAATGTGACGCTTCAGGCTTTCCTGCAAACAACAGCAAGAGTGTGGTTGTCATCGTGTGGCTGACACTCACAACAACTTCCCGGTGCGTCCCGCAAGCGTGCGTAGTGCTGGAACTGTGCACGCCGACCCCTCAACCGGGGCATCGCATGGATGACGCCCCTGCGTGGCACAGTCAATCAGACTCAAAAGTGAGGATGCCGCGCCAGCAGTTTCCTCCGGCCTTCTTTGGAAGTCATCGATGACTGCAGAGGCTCGTTCGGCCACGCCGTCTTGGGAGGCCCGGTCCTTTCAAGCGTATGCAACGGCGGAAAAATGCAATTGCAATTCACGTCAACGTCACGTCGGTGCCTCCGCATCCTCCGTAGACCAACTCACCAGCAAAGGTACGGACAGCGTCTGCTCTTCGACGGAGCGAAGCAATCCTTGGCTGCAATCTGCGGCTTCCTTCGGAGCTGAAAGCCTGAATCTCGGCCGGGGCAGGGCTGGCTTATGCAGCTTGGTAGCTCCGCAACCGATCGACCCGACTCGCATCTTTTGTTGCAAAGTGTGCGGCTAGCAGTCCTCGAACAAGGGGCGAAGGACAGCAGAAAAATCAGCAGTGCCCTCAATTTCGTGGACACGATGAGCTGAATTTCCCCACCTATCAATCGAGGTCGCGCGACCATCGGTACTGCATCCTTCTCCTTCTGTCGTTGGCAGCTGTATAGTTCGGCATGGAACATGCGCGCTCCATCTTATTGAGATCATCTGCAACCAGGGTGCCGCCACTCAGGTGCCATGAGCGCATGCCCCGCGGCTGCTGCTGAAAAGGCTACAGACAGTAAGGCAGGACAGACCATGGTTCGCAAGAGACAAGTTTCACAGCTGCCAGGGACTGGGGCAGGCACTCCTCAGGGCTCAGAAATTGCGGTACTGCCACTATTCGAGGGTCCTCGGGTCATGTCGCAGTCTGTCATGTTTCAACAAGTATTTTACGGAGTCTAAGTCTAAGGGTTCAAGCAATGCGCCTCACTCACGACCAAGCTTCGCAGTCCTGCACTGCACTCAAAGTGCTACCCTCGCACGAGTCACATCGGGACCGGTGATGTCGGAAAGTATCTTCCCACCTGTCGGTGCCCGTGTCTGTGGATCGATGGGTGGCCTCAGGTTGAATGTAGCGCATTTCGAGGCCAAGTCCCCAAGGCTTTTGGTACACGCAAGTTTCAAGCAGTCGAGAATGCCACTTGTCAGGTGCACAAGTTCGCTTTTGCATTTTTCTGCGAGAGCACGTAGCTGTTGCAACTCCTCCATCGATACCTCCTGACACGATCGAAGACACAGATCATCTTCTTGCCTCAACCTCTGAGACGCATGCGCCTCGACATCAATTTGGCCGGTGCCGCCCACCCTTCGCTGCAAGCCTTCGGGGTCCTGCTGAAGGCCGAGATGCATCGGCTTGAGATGCCAGTGCATGTGGCGCACAGCCGAGGCGCGTGGCTCAGGAACCATCGTCCGATGAACTCCACACCGAGGTCAGAGGCTCCGGTTGCTCCCGTTGGGCACCAAACAGGCTGCACCGGGCCCGCTAGGTCAGCCGGCGTGGCGGTGCCCGGGGCCTGGCCACGAAAAGTGGACTTTTGAACCGCAGCACGTGTGCCCCCGAGAACACGTCGCTGACCTCTGCCGTCGCCGTTTGCAGCAACTCCGGCCAGGAAGCTCCTTGTGGCAGTTGCCTCAGACTCTGCCAAGACACTCTGGTTCACTTCGGTGTTGTCTACATTTTGCAGTTGGCTGCATTTGATGCCGTCTGAGCGGCATGTTGGGACCTGAGCTCCCTCCCTGCAACGGCCTCAACATGCGACTGACATGGATACAGATCCAGATTTCCAGGCGAGCTGCCCAGCGGCTGTGTCGGAGATGGAGCTGGCGAGCCTTCACAGGGCTGCTGGACGGTGCAACACCGGCAAGTCAAGCAGACCACAAGTGTCATTGACAGCTCGTTCGGCCAGAGGAGCCACATGGACCCTGCTCACCCCAGAGGCCCAACATCAGCGTGGCGCGTGGCTCGGGTGGTTCCGCCGGGTCGCGTGCCTGCCCATGCAAGATCTACAGCTTGACCTAGGGAATTCGCTAAGCATTGCCTGCAAAGCTATGTTGGGGATCACGCCATGGAGCAGACCCCCGTCAAAGAGTAGCACCTCCGCGTCACACCAAGAGGAGCTTACCCGGGATACAGCAATGATGTCATGAGGAGCCGAGGTGCTCGATTGACTTTGGGCTCGCATAGCCATGCCCTCCTCGCACGACTGCCAGGATTCAGCGTCTGATCTGTAACCTCGAGTGCTAAGGAAGGCTGCTACAGACGGTCCAGCTTCAGTAGCCAGACTCTTCAGACCAGCTCAGATATGTAGCCACTCGACCAAGCTAACTTTGGCCACGGTGCGATGGTGGTGGAAGCCGTGCTTGCACTGCCACCTAACAATGCTGTCCGTATGTGTGCAAGGAGGTGCATGGCGAACGTATACATATGCAGGTAGGTGCTCTTCTCTCGCTTTATATTCATGTAGGTACCTGTACGTCCTTGAGGATGCATGCATCCCATGCAGACATGCATGTAGTCAGGAAGTGTGCATGTACGCATGTCTGCACATGTGTATGTATGTCTGTATGTACGTATGCATAAGTGTGTATACATACATTTGCTGCTGGTGTGCAGTTTATGTTGCACCGAATGAACACGTTACTTCGCGCATACTGTTCTGTGCAAACACCTCGCCATTTAATGAAATGTCGCGCGATGCTAGATGCTACGCACTATTGCTGCATGCTACGGATAGTGGCGCTATGATTCTACTGCCTGTGTCTCGCTCGGCTGATGGTAGCTACTGGTCTTATCTTATGTTTAGTTGTAGCTACTAGAAGGCGTGGTTGCGAGCTTACTTCTGTTGGTGTCTTGTTGCCCTTGGGTGTATACCGACCCAAGCTCTGCTTGGGACAAATTCATCTATCCAATCATACATAGCCTCATAAAAGGCTTGCGTACTTCATGCTACCGGCCATGTTCTGGCCTTCAGGTTTCTATTGCACGTACTAATCGACATGCAGTCACATGAGCTGCTGCTGTCTTTCGCTGGAACTCGTTGCTCCACCTCAAGGCTTACAACAAGGTTCTTTTGCATGTCATGCGGCAATTGTGCCGGCGTCCCCCCCGTCGCTACAATCACGTTTGTATGTACGCTGTTCAGACATGGCTGAAAGCTCTGCCCATGAAAGCTGATTTTTCTACAGTTTTCACAGATATACCCTGGGAGTAGCCTGCTATGCACACCGTCAGATGCAATGATGCCTGATTGACACGCTGTCACGACTCGCCTGTCTTTCGGACCATGTATCTGCACGCAGGAATATTTGTGTATGTGAACGGGTTTACATACGTGTACTCTCAAGTCTGAGCAATGTTCAATTGTGCGGAGAATGGACCGCCGAGCAGCAGCTGAGGTACAGAACGCAGGACACCAGCGGGTGATGCGGAAGGGATCCCTCCTTCAATGAACAGGTCCGCACTGGTCAGATGCTCTGAAGAGCAGCTGGCTTCAACTAAGCACCTTCAAGTTCGGAAGGCTCACCTCGTCCAGGTCGTAATGCAGCCTCGGAACCCCTAGAGATCCCAGGCCCTTTCCCCTTTCTTCACTGAATCTTGGGCCCAAGCTGGTGGCCACTGCCGGATCCTGCAGGACGCGTGTGAGCCCACCACTCCTCAGCTCGAGGGCTGAAAGCGACAGAGAGCGGAGGAACTTTGGCCGAGCATCCACCGAGGAGACCCCTCGGTCACAGCCTGCACTTGAGCACAAGGCTTCTTGCCTATCTGCAGACATAATCATACGTACAAAGGTGCACTAAAGATATGTCGACAACATATCAAGAGAAGAACAAATATCACAAGCAGCCCTTTCTTCTCATGGCATTATGCCTTGCTCCCAGGCCTTCGGTACCGAAGATCGAAGGGAAGCTGGCCACAGCCAGGCTTTTTACGCGCGATGCCACTGCCCGGATCAGAGGGGCCCCTGCCGCAGCGGCGCAATCCTGGATGCTGGCAGTGCGCAACACGACGCCCTGTCTGAAAGAGATGCTGACGACTTGCGAGTGGTGCAAAGCTGCTTGCAGACTAGCAACCGGCATCAGAGGCTCGTTGTAGGAGAAGAAACTGGGAGTGGGATATTTGTGCCTTGGCCCAGCGTGACTTCACACCCAAGCTAGTCGGCTGCCCCTGAAGCACTCGCGGTCATCACTAGGCAATGAACATCAACGAACCACGCGCTAAACTGGTCCAAGCGGCTCTTTCCAAAACGGGGACCCTGCTCTGAAAGCATCCTGCGCTGTGATGAGGTCAGCATCGGGTAGACAAGCCCAGGCAGATCATGTCCACTTTGTGTGTATGTGTATACATGTAGATAGATAGATAGATAGATAGATAGATAGATAGATAGAGAGAGAGAGAGTGTGTGTGTGTATCTATCTATATATAACTATACATATATATATATATATACAACTATACGTGTATATATTTTATATATATCTATACATATATACCTTTACACATACATGGAATTCATGCAGGTGTCTTGGACCAAGCGCAGAAGCTCGGACGGCAGCAAATCGTCAAAGGCGGCGACTAAGTTGGCTTCGCCTCCACCAGCGCAGTAGTGTCATCAGGGTGGCTCCGACAACTCTTGTTGTCAGTGATCTTATTCCGTCGGTTTCGCCACTTTTTCTGCTATAAATATGCATTCAGGACGTGTCTCGAAGCTTCAGAGTCCCTTAAATTCCGGGGCTGAGAAACTCCGGCCTCGACATGTCGGGCCCTTGAGGCAGCTCCCGTCCAGCACGGATGGGCACAGCCTGAGGGAGGACCAGACAGACTGCACCGAGAGGAGAGAAAAGTATTCCTAGCTCAAGCCGCGTTTGAAGATCATGGCTCAGTTGCGTTCAGGTAGATACGACGTCGCATGTCTTGTCCACCCAAAGTCCGTCTCTTTCGAAGCCTTGCCTTGACTCTGACCTTGCTCTGTGCTGAGCCCGGTGGCTTCCAAGTCAAGCCAAGCTGTCGTAGCCAGTCATCTGCCTCCTTCGGGGGAATTTTCACTTAGGGAATAGCGACGATGTGGGAGTTTCCGAAAATAAGGGGTACCTGTTTGGGGTCCTTATAATAAGGATCCTATTATTAAGGGTGCCATCTTAGGGTCCCCTATTTTCGGAAACCCCCATGTGTTCAACCGTGGCTTCGGCGACGTCTCAAGGAGATCAGCCTCGTGCCGGCCAAGCTGTGAAAGAAGCAGGGCAAGCTCGTACTTTGCGACCTGCGCTCGCGAAGGATCGTTCCGCGGCAAAGAGAACCACATACTGACATTGTACATATCATCTGAATACACTTATTCTAATATCTACAATGTGCACCTCCACCTGCGCTCCCCGGCCAGCAAGAGCAGCTCGCAGCAACTCTATGGCCTCCTCGCAGCGGCCTGTGGGACTCCAGCACTCTGGTTGAAAACGACAGGAGGAGTGAGGGTGTCCTGCATCCTTTGCCGCCTTGGCTTGGTCCTTATCGTCACTCCGTGAGGGGGAGGAGGAGGAGGAGGAGGAGGAGGAGATGGATCCCGAGTCACCGTATTTGGCAACTTTTCGCCGTGTTCTGCCAAGCGGCCACGGGGCTCGGCCGCTTCGGGCCTCTGTTGGCCGCCCGTTTTCCTGGCTGTTCGAAGACTGTTTCGCTTGTGGAGGTGGAAAAACTATAATAGCGACCACAGTTATCATCATTGTTGTTGTTATGATTAACGAGTACGAACACGAATACCAATACCACTACGAGTACTTGTTACAGCCCAGCTTCGGATGCCTAATTTGCCCATGGCGCAGGCGACGATTCCGGCAGTTGCATGTACTGTTCTCCCGGCTGTGCGAGCTGCTGCATTGGCGACGTAATGTGTCGCGACTATGCTGTTCACGTCTGAGAAAGGGTACTTGGAAAAGAGCTGCGAAAGTTGGTTTGTACTTGGGCTCAATGGCTCGCCGACCAAGAGCACGAAGAAGGAAAACGACTGCTCAGCTCTGTCATGATTTGCTTGTTGTCGCACGCTCCAGCTTACAATCTCTGCAAGGATC